TACTACTAGGAGCAAGGACGCTACTAGGGGCTCCTGGCATCGCTACTAGGAACAAGAAGCTACTTGTTCTACCGAGTCTCCGCGAAGACTCTGAAAGGCTTCGAAGTCAATTCTTCGCAACTGCCGCCCATGCAGGTTCAGCACCTGTGGGAATCGGGAACACGCAACGTACATAGGAGTTTCCTGAAATGGATGAATATTATTGAAACGAAAAAGACTGATCGAAAAAAAAGTGTGATAAACATTTAAAAACTAGAGAATCGTGAGCATCATCTTTCTGGATAAGTACCAAAGACAACTTATGGGCCTTTGGGGAACCACAAGAGCAAAAGTGTGCGCAGTAGACGTCTTTCAGCAACTGTCAAGTTAAAGAAATTTACCATGTCATATAATGTCATAGACGATTTCCATGTTTACTTTCATGAGTGTTAATGACCTCAAACGCATAAGCAACAATCGAATCGGGTCGCCTTCAGATCCAGGAACTTGCAAATGCGAAGGGAAGGACTTGGAGCAGGCTCTGGAATTCATGCGAGGTTCAAACTGAATCAGAAAGTTGCAAACCCATAGGTCCAAGACTTCCAAGAAAAATAAGTGTTTCAAAGGAAATCCTCTACGACTCTACAATGAGTGTGTCCTTTTGTCTCAGCAACAAAAGACCGTGGGCTTTTACGAAAGCCAAGACAAGTGACCATGGAGCTGAGCCCTCCCACTCTGCGAGCATGGCGCCAGTCAAATGCTGGATCGCCGGCCTGGGGCAAAAGGAACGCAGGGAACACAAAGGTTTTTTAACGCCCGCTCCTACTTAATTAAGTAGGCGCCTACTTAACTGAGCAAGAGAGAAGTAAGCTACTAGCTAGGACGCAGGATAGCTCACGCTCGCACTAATGATTTGGCTCCTAGATTATTTGGCACTTATAGACCATTATTTTTACATGTCCTTCTCCGTTCCTTCATCCTGATTTCTTGGAGCCACGGATTTCCCATGCATTCCAGGACAAGAAGCCAAACAGCATCCAAAAGCCGCTGATATCTGAGCTTCAAGGCAAATTTGGCAGCCGGGGCATCGAAGACCTTGGCATCATGGTCTTCACCCTGTCAAGGAGCTTGCAAATCGCAAAAAGGAAGCAGAGATCATGGTGCACTCTGATCTCTATGTGCATATATCATATGAGTATATATATATATGTATGTATGTATTATTTAGATATATGTGTATATATATATACATACATACATTGCATATCGATTAATTGTCGTCTATATGGTTGGCTTGCAGCCAGACCGTTCCCGCTGCGTGGCTCCTTTATAAGATCTGTTTCACCATTGTCTTGTCAATTGCATGCTGTCAACAGTGATGTGAAACAGTTTGCTTTCCTGAAGCAATTGAAAGTGCGTAGCTGGCAAAGCTCAGAAACTTACCCCAAGCTTGACGACGAAGCATCCTCGTCCTGTCCACTCCAGAACCAACACAACAGTGTCAGAGACGGCAACAAACAAAAATTGAGAAGAAGAAGAAGAAGAAGACACTAGGAACTTGGGCAGCTGTTCACTTCTCTATCAAGGCTATTATATATGTTTTGTCCAACAGTTCAATGCTCCAACGAGCCCAAGCACAAAGCCCCCACTCTCCTGTGCGATTTGTGTCAGGTCATGGATATCTGCTGGCCTTAGCTCGTTCTCTGATGGAAGCTGCATACATCATGCCACATGAGACATGTGCTCTCGTCCAAAAGCTGAGAATAGACGTGAATCTCCATCGACACTTCCCACTCGGTGGAAAATTACCAATGCCTCAGCTCTTTTCTTGGGCGAAAAGAACTGCAGCTGATGCGTGATCTCTTTTTTCAGCCAAGCAAGAGCAAAGCTTGGGAAAGCTCACATCCTTTCTGGTCTCAATCTAATCATCATCCAATTCCTCCAAATCGTCATCCTCGCCAAACAAAGCGGCGTCATAGACCAGAAGCTCCGACTTGGACTCATTGTAGCCGTTGTCTTTGCCTGCCTCTGGACTCTGTGAGAAAATCATCTTCCCAGTCCTTGATCTGTTTTCGTCCCGCTTGAGCACGCCCATCTCGATCATCTCTGCATCAAACTTTGCCTTCCATGCTGCGAAAGCATCAGGCGTGATTCGCTCGCTCTCTGGGCAAAGGTTCTTTTCTTGCAACCCTTTCCATTCGGGCTCCTCCTCCTCTTCATCGTCTTCATCTTCCTCCTCAGCGTCGCCTTCCTCTTCAGCTTGCCCTAGCATCATCTGCTCATGCATCGACAGCTCCTTTTGGTTGTTTTCTTTCAAAAAGTCCTGGCATGCTTCCGCCACTGAGTAAATCATTGCCATACCAAGTGAGGATTCAATGCTTTCCTCTATTCTCTGACGTAGCAACTCAAGCTTCTCATCTCCCAAACCTCCGACATCCTCCAATGCCCATGCTGGAGCTTCATCTGGATACGCATCGGTGTACGTCACGTGAAGCGTCACTTGGACATGATTCTCCTCCTCACCACCTGGAAATGGCAATAGCTTGATGGTAAACTCTTTGTTGGAGATGCTTGTAAACTCCTTTCCTTCTTCAAAAATGGATTGCAGCGCCTCGATTTCCAAGGCCTGTTCTTCCTCGTGAGCCATCAAGGGGATAACATGCACAAGCGAAGTGGGAAAGCCGGACCCTTTTCCGAGAGGGCTGATGTGCAATCAGTGGTCATCACCCAGGTTCCTCATCATGTTGAAGGTGTGAATCTTTCTGTCCTTGGCAATGCTTTAGTTTTACATATGTATACATAAGTAAATATATATATATAACTATATGTGCGTATGTCACACTTTAGAGCCTGTTGTGTTGGGTTGGGAAACCCTTGACAATAACTTGCTCAATGAGCCAAGAGTTCCACTAAAGCTGCTGTTCTCCGCCAAACAATGTAACACTGTGAATGATCGCTCTTTTTTGCCCGCTCCGCTCCTGCTTAATTAAGTAGGTGTCTAGTGAGCTACTAGCTACTAGTTGGCTTCTAGGTAGGATGCAGGATAGTTCACGCTAATGATTTGGTTTCTAGAGGTTCCTAGATTTTTAGGGAAAGCCGAATAATTAATGTAAAACAGTGAATGAAAAATGTGCTCTCCAAAACTGCCGGCTCTTACAAAACTGGTCAATCTGGCTCGGATTATAAAAGCCGCAGCCTGGTCAGTGTAATTCTTCCACTCTCGTTTGGCTGCCCTGCTTCCGCTTGCGTTGCGAGGTCTCCTTACGCTTGAGCCGCTGCAGTACAAGTTCCGGGTGAGTCACTTGCATAGCTTCTCACACAGTTGCCAGATCAAAAAGGGAAGCTAAGAAAATTTGGTCCACATGAGGCAACGCTAGTGATTGCTCCTGTTCCACACCCATCTGCCCAAAGAAGCTGTATTCGGCCAGCAAAGGGGCCTTGGCAAACCAAACAGGCATTCAACAAAGTGAATCATAGAATCTTGGCATGTTAGGTCTGTTACATACTTCAAGCTGGACCAAAATACAAATCGGCTGAAAACACTCGGTGAGGCAGTGAAGCATATTGCTTTGCAATGAATACATTGTGTTGGATGGTCTTAAGAGCTATACAGGCGAAGTTGAACAAAAAATGCTTCAGTTGACTCTCTCTCTCTCTGTGGAGCCACATCGAAGGCGCCCGAGCAAAAGCTCCACAGTCGGCCTCCCCCTCTTTGCTCGTCGTAAACTGTGCAGAAATGAGTCTGACAAACTTGTCGAAAAACAGGGGTCAACCAACTTTATCAATTGTTACGAACGAAAAGCTTCCTTGGACCATCGCTTCCTGATCTTTGAACACCTAGGGCACTGAGATTCGACCAAGAAGTGGGCGTTTTTTTGCCGATCCTGAGAAAGAAAACATCTTTTGGAGAGCTCTCACATCTTTCGTGTGTGAGAAGCATCATTGCCTCTACGTCATGGATGTACTCGAACTCCACCAAGAACTCTGGCCTTACTTCAAGCTCACTTATTCCCAAACTCAGTTCTCTTACAAAGCTTTACAAACTATGGGAAGCACTCTCTGATGGTTCTAGACAGTCAACTAGGTTGCAATCTGCAGTCACCTTTGTTGGAGAATATCTGTTGTTTCTTCATGCGGCTGACAACTTGACACACTGTCTTGCATGAATTGCATAAATGGAGTAGTTCAGCAGCTGAAAAAATAAACAGGCATGCGGAACAATACTTCCTTGATGGCTGGTATTCAACATTACAGTATTCATTATTCGATGCTACTTGAAATGCAACGTTTCGATGGCCTGAAACTCTTCGCACTAAATTTTGGGTCATGTCATGCGATTGCTGATTGTCCTACACTCTGCTTCTTAGGGTCATGGTCATCCTGCTTGCTGTTGGTGACGTAAGTTGCACATTCTTAACTTTTTGGTTGCTCTTGCTGGGACTCTCTCTCTCCCTCTCTCTCGCTCTAATGAATGCCGCTACTTACCACAAAAGGTCTTTCCCATAGAGTCCGAGGAGCAAAATCATTTCAGCGTACGGCACATGCCACACCTGAAAGGAAGGAGGTGGTCCGAGGAACTTTCTAGCTAGCAGCACTTCAAGTACATAGCAAAAGCATGCAAGGTGACATTATTCATGAATCGGGTACCTGTCGTAAGCAAAATATTCAGCGCAATCAGTAAGCCGGCCATTATCATTATCAGCTCCCATCCATACTTTCCTGGGCGTCTGACCATCCATGAAAGCAGCACTAGTTTTGGCCATAAAACATATGGACCTTCCCGAGTAAACTGTTCAACCTCTCCCAATAGTGTGTCCAACAAGAAATCTCTCGCGGTCAGGTCGCTTCCCCCTGGCAACTCACGGCAGCACAGGGCATACAGCCCTGGCCGTTGTGAGCAGCACAGCACTGTGAGCAGCATAGCTTCTAAGCCAGCCACAAGAAAAAGACCATAGAAGCGAAAAGCCACAGCACCCAAAAGCAACAAAAGCCAAACGCTAGAGAAGCTAATAGCTAATGTCAACACTGGATTAATCAACCCCCGCTTCAAGGTAAACAAGATCAAAAAGGTTTGAGATTGGAGGTATTGGAGACCACCTTAATAAAGGTGATTACCTGATGATGGATGATGAGATGATGACCTGGACCTGATGATGGATGCTGGTTGATGGGAATCTGTGTGAATCATGAGAGCTTGAACCATGAGAGCTCTGAGTATATTGGCACAAGCTTGATAAGAGATCTGATAGGAGAGATCTGACAGGATAGATCTGATAGGATGATTGATGAATGAGAGGATCAGCGGGAAAAGGGTGGATCAGAATGCTATCTCTCGAAGAGTGGTTCAAAAGATCAGTTTCCCCATGGACCAGAAGATATTGGATACTGACCAAAAAAAAGGTAAAAAGAAACAAATATCTTTATAATAGTAGACTAGCTGGGCTTGATCAATAGGGGGAGGGGAGGTTTCTGCTAGGAACAAAATATTAGGGTGGTGGACATGTGGAATTCAGGTTTTAAATTAGTTCTGTATTGGGGGCTCGAGCTGGGCTTGATTATAAGGGAAGGTTAACCAGGATATATACTTAATCCTGTGTCAAAATTACAGAAGCCAAAAGTCTCCAAACCTAATCGCTACAGAAGTTAAAAGAAACAAAAGCCCAAAGCCAAAAGCCGCCAAAACCAAAAGCTACAGAAGCCACAAGACACAGAGACAAGTCTCCGAAACCAAAAGAGAAGCCACAAAACCACACGCCACTGGAGCCCTCGTCCTTCCTTCCTTCCTTCTTTCCTTCCTTCCTTGCTTCCTTCCTTCCTTAGCTACAGAAGCCAAAAACCACAAAATCCCAAACCCACAGACGCCAAAAGCCGCCGAAACCAATAGCTACAGAAGCCACAAGCCACAGAGACAAGTCTCCGAAACCAAAAGCTAAAGAAGCCAGAAGCCACAAAAGCCACAAGCCACAGAAGCCTTCCTTCCTTCCTTTCCTTTCCTTGCCTTGCCTTTCCTTTCCTTTGACCGTGGAAAAGAATTCCCACAAAAAACGGAAAACTAAATCCGAGCTGTCAGCCTCAGTCGTCAGCAGTTGATGTTACAAAGGCCTTAGGGCTTGGTACCTCTGAATCGATTTTAGTCCAGAAAATTGGGAGTGCATGTCACTTCAGAAGTAATGTGCATCGCTCAAAAGCTTTACTAGTTGGGTGCTGCAGGATAGCATGCTATTAAGGGATTAGTTCACCATCGCCCCGTTCGTGCGGTGCCTTGCTATGTTATGATGCTCTGCAAGGGTACTTCCCTCCCCTCCACTTCCGCTCCTTCACTTTCTCGTCCTCTATGCTCACACGTTGTAAAGATCGCCTCAGCAACGCCAACTGGAAACTTGATTCACGTCTTCCAGTGCCCTAGTAACAAGTGCATCGCTACTAGTAACAAGTGCCTTACTAGTAGTAACAAGGACGCTAGTCTGATGATACACCTCTAACAGCTTACTCCCTCGGATGGATCCTGCATTGAGAGACCAAGGTCATGGCACCACGAGTGCATCTTCTCCGACTCGCACAGGTCCTGCAAGTTAAGAAATGGTTGAATCAAGAGTCGCACAGCTGCACAAACAGTATGAACCAAGTGCATCCTTGCCTCTTGGATCCTTCTTAGAAGGCTCCCTGCGCCACAAGTCATGGACCTTGGAAATGTTATGGGTTCAGATATCAGATGCTACTAGGAAAAAGACAGATCGATCCACCAAGAGCCAGAACCTCAGGCATATATATATATATTTCATACCCAACTCAACCGACTCGACCCCTGCAAATGTGTGCTCGACCTGAATGTGACAGAAATGCTGTCAAAACAATCTCGTCTTATCATGTCTTATCTAGTCTTGTTGATGTTTACAAAGAGATACAAAGAGAAAAGGGAGCTTTGAGGCGCGGGCGTCCAAGAAGTTGGAGGCAAAACCTGGGACTTTAGCTGTCCAACCAAGTCTGGTGCAGTTTCTATGGCCTGTCCAGACGGTGGCGTAGCGCTAGATGAGCTTTTAGTGCAACATATTGCAGGCAAAACATCAAATTCCTTCCTCCACTGACTGAAGCGACCCCTGCGCACGAGGGTCCAGGCACCGCTTCGGATACCCGAGCCATCTGTTAGCACAGGTTTGGTCGTGTCACTCCCCATCCCCCATCTGGTCAAACAAATTTGGCGAAAACACTCGTTCTCTGCTGTGATAGTTAGCTCCCACTCTGCGATCTAGACTGCAGTCCTTTCATCCTTTTGCTTGTTCTCAAGATTGGACACAGAGTTTCCTGTTGTTCTTAGCAAATCACAACAGTGTACTTGCCAGGCACCAAACAGCTCGGATAGTCCGATAGCTGCTCCCCCAGGTTCACCTCAATGCACAAAGCCGTCAGGGCACGTTCTGACTTGGACAACACTTCTTCGAGTCCACACACCAAGAAGCTCTTAGGGCAATCATCCATTTGTACATAGTGTGATGCTTCTAGGTTGGAGGCCATCGCTGTTACGAGTAGGTTGGAGGCCATTGCATGCTATAGAGCCTTTGACACCCTCACCATCTTGTGCGCACTGACTTTGAAGCCTCCACCCCGAACACGAAGTCTACCCCCTTCTTAAGTCAAAGCGAACCCCCT